TCAAATCAGGGGACAAAGAGCTGTACAAGAAATAACGGTATGCATTAGAGGAAGCCATAAAACGCGCCAAACAGAGCTACAGAGTGCAGCTTGAAACACAGTTCGCTGACACCCGGAGGCTGTGGCAGGGATTACAGTCAATCACAGGCTACAAGGGCTACATCCAGGAGATTGACACGAAACGCATCCCTGCCTGAAGAGCTGAACCATTTCTATGCCCACTTTGATGCTCTGAACACAGGCAATGCTGAGAAGACCTCAAGTGTGCAGGGCGAGTTTGTTCTGAAACTCTCAGAGCAGGACGTGCAGAAGACTCTGAGCAGGGTGAAAATCCATAAGGCTGCAGGGGCTGATGGGATACCACCTCGCGACCTGAGGACATGTGCAGCCAGGCTGACCACAGTGTTTACGGACATCTTTAACTCCTCCCTGTCACAGTCCATGGTCCCCACCTGCTTTAAAAAACCCACTATTGTTCCAACCCCCAAAAAGGCAAAAGTGACATGCCTGAATGATTACCGCCCAGTAGCATTAACATCTGTGGTGATGAAATGCCTGGAGAAGCTGGTGTTGTCACACATCAACTCCTCCATCACAGAGCCGCTGGACCCCTTGCAGTTCGCCTGCCAGAACAACAGATCAGTAGATGATGCTGTCTCCCTGGCTCTGCATACAGCCTTGGAACACCTGGACACTAAGAACTCGTATGTGAGAATGCTGTTTGTGGACTACAGTTCAGCATTCAATTCCATCATACCCAGTCAACTGGTGACAAAGCTCAGGGGATTAGGTCTGTGCAACTCTGTCTGCAACTGGCTGCTGGACTTTCTTATCGAGAGACCACAAGTAGGGGATAGGCAATAAAACATCAACACCCCTCAACCTGAGCACTGGAACCCCACAAGGCTGCTGTCTGAGTCCAAGGTTGTACTCCCTGTTCACTCACGACTGCACAGCAAGACACAGCAACAACCGCATCATTAAGTTTGCAGATGACACCACTATAATAGGACTGATCAGTGATGATGACGAGTCCACTTATAGGGATGAAGTCGTACAGCTGCTTAGGTGGTGTCATAGCAATAACCTGGACTTGAACGTGAAGAAAACGAAAGAGCTAATAGTGGAGTTTCAGAGACACAGGCCACACACTCACAGCCCACTCAGTATTGATGGAATGGAAGTGGAAACAGTCACCAGCTTTAGGTTTTTGGGAATTCACATCTCTAAAGATCTAACCTGGACTGTGAACACTGACTCTATCATGAAGAAGGCTCAGCAGCGCCTTTATTTCTTGAGGTGCCTCAAGCGATGGGGGATGCCAATACATGTGCTGGTGAACTTCTACCGTTGCACCATCGAGAGCATCCTCACCAACGGGATCACCGTGTGGTATGGCAACACCTCTTCGCAAGAAAGAAAGGCACTGCAGAGGATTGTCAATATGGCCCAGAAGATCATCGGCTGTGGTCTCACCGAGATTAAACAGCTCTATGAGGACCGCTGCCATGGTAGAATTCTGGCCATCACAGAGGACACTGCCCTCAGGCAAGAGATATAAGAGCATATGGACACTTACCACTAGATTCGTCAATAGCTTCTATCCACAAGCAGTGAGATTGGCGAACACATTTAGGACCACACCTACACCATCACCATCTACCTCTTTATGATTTCTTATCTATAGCTATATCTAAACTATTGTTTACATTCAAACTGTCTACATGTTTACTTGCAAATTGTCTACTGTTTGTTTGTATATTGTCTTTGATGCACTGTTTGCACTTTGTTTTGTTTTTTACACTTGTTTTACAATCGAGAGACTTTCTGTAAGTAAGAATTCCATTGTACCAGTACCGGTTACATATGGCAATAAAGTTCAAGTTCAAAGAACCCAGGACCGACGACCTACCAATCTCGTGACAAGTGCAGCACCAAGATCCTTCACCATAATCACTTTCTCTATTATACTGCTGACACACTCTACTGTATGTTGGAAAGCTGACCTATTGCCGTTACTGCTACCCACCATTAGGAGGTATCCAGCAGTGTTGGTTCATCAGAGAGATCGTGAGGCTCCTTCAACACATTCAGTGACCAACCAACAACCACAAATTGCATGTTGTCATTGTCAAAAGATGGACAGACGTACAGTACAATGTTGGAATCTTCAAGTGTTTCTGTACTGGAAGACAGCAAGCTACATGGACAGTGATGATGGATGATTTTGCACATCTGCTTCATACAATCTTTGCCCATTCTTCTCAAGCTCTCTCAAGTTTTAAAGTCAGGACTATGACTGGGCCTTCAATGACATTCACTTATTTTTAAACCACTCCAATGTAGCTTTGGACTTTTACTTTGGATAACTACTGAAAGATGGATTCAGTACCAGTTTTAAGTCTTCAGCAGAATGAAACAGGTTTTCTTCTAGCAGTTGCCTGTAATTTGCTCAGTATATTTTTCCTTCAGTTCTAAGAAGCATTTCAGTCCCTGCTGTGGCATTCTCATAACATGATGCAGGCAACATTCCTGACTCTAGGGATGGTCTTTACTGGTAGATTACTTGAGTTGCAAATGTTACTGCTTGACTTTTAGATCAAAAAGGTTCCAATTTTGTCTCGTCTGATCTTTGTACAAACTCAAGCCAGATGTGAGATTTGTTTTCCACTTTTGGTCTTACCAGGATATTGATGGCAGCCAGTGATCTCTGTAGCTCTTTAAATGTCATTGTTGCCCTCAAAGTGGCGCCACTCACCAGTTTCCTTTTTGTCCATTTCTTAATGATTGAGTAGACAGTGATCATAGGGATATTCTTCAGCGACTTCAAGATTTTGTTACCTTCTACTGATCTTTGCTTTTCAATGTCTTTATCCTTGACTAGCTTTGAAAGCTCCTTAGATGATTGAGCCTTTGCTAAAATTCACTACCTTAAGGAACCTCATGGAGACACTGAGGTTTTATTCTGAAATCACAAAAAAAAATATTATTGCACACAGACAGAAGCCATTTGACTAATTGTGTGGCATGTCAAGGTGATTTTGTGCATCTAATTTAATTCAGGATTACCACAGGAAGGGGTCTAATTGGTTTGTGCCATTATGACTTTACATTTTTCTTTTGTTTTATCCATTTACTTCTTTCATTTTTTTTTACTTTGAATGCATAGAGTGTATAAAACAACTATTAATTATTGCTTCAGAGTGGCATGACTGAAAACAATAAAATGTCTTGGTTTCTGCCCCACGTAGACATAACTGGGTGAAAGCTTATTTACACAAGAAGAAAGACATTCGAAACACACTTCTTTAGCCCCTGGGTAAGAGGGTAGCAGTGTCCTGTGGCATCCCATGAGTCCAAAGGGCTTAGGAGAATCTGAGATACAGTAAATAAAGAAGAAAAACCTAGGTAGTGATTAATTATCCAGTGGATTCTGAAATGTGCACTGGCTATAGTTATTAAAGTGTTAATAAGAGTATAAGCAGTTCCTATAGGCTAGGGTAAGTAAAGGGATGATATTCTTGCAGCAAGAGGGTTTTTTTTTTAAATACTGTAGGTGAAAGTGAACTATTCTTCAAATTTACAGTGGTTTTGTAACAATTGAAAGGACACAAACCTGCCTTTGAGAACTAAAAAAATCCTGAAGCCTAATTAAATTAAGGCTTCCTTTATTAGACACCACAAAGTTAATACTGTACCATCTAACACAAAAATACCTGAAATTTCCAATTATAATATAAAAAACAGTGAACAAAAGGATTCAGTATGAATGTTTTGTTATGAATAATGTGAGTTTTCATTCTCATTAATGGTTTTTATAAAGAGCGTTTTTTTATTTCTTCCTCACCTATAAAATCAGTAATGGAGTGAGCTTAATCTTACTAATTTATTTACATAATTCACATTAATACAGGCTGTTTGAAATATTCTGTCAGTATTTATATTTTGCAGTATGTGTTAAAGTTATGAAACCTAAAGTATTTGCTGACCTACTATTACATTGGAGAGCTGGCTTTGAAGACTGATTTAGCTTATCAGTCCTGGGTGCCAATAGTCTGTGTTCAGGAGGTGTTTGATCTTGTATTTCAATTCAGTCTTGTTCAACTGTATGGTAAATAATAAAAATATGTCATAACTACAACTAAAGTTTTTTTTAAAAAAAAGCACATTAACTTTTATATTAAGAGTGTTGTAAATACTTCTGGGATGGTAGCATCCTGTAGTTTGCTGCCGTTAGAATTCAGATTTTGTGGTATTCCAATAAAGTGAGTACATAATAAAGTAGTCTATCTTGAATTTTATTTCTCTCAAATTTAGTATTGGACACACAGAGCTTTATTGATTATGAGTATACACTGAAATCAGTTAACTGAGCAGTCTCAAAGCTCTTTGAGACCATATTCTTCAGAGAAATAGAAAACATCTTGAAATAACATAATGACTTTTGAAGTATTGTGTTTGCCCCAGCTTTTCAGTTTCTTTCACATTTTAGAAAAAAAAATAACAACGAAATGAAGTGAAATATTTCTTATCTTCAATTTGACAGTTTTACTGGATCTTGTTTAGAAGATAAGAAATGTATATTTTAAAAATTACGAATTGTGTCTTTTAAAAAATGTGTGCTCAATGTTTTATCTTTCCTCTTTCTATGTATATTATACTATGCACAATGCTGGATTATACCTTTATAGACATAGAATTAGGATATTATGTGAACAAATATTTTTGTCATTTCATTTAGTATGTTTGTCACTGTTGAAAAACATTATCTTTAGGAATTGATTTCCCAGAACCTAAATTATGTTTTCAAACTTATGAACATAACTCTGCTAAATGTATATCATCCTGTAATACCTTAAATAATGTGAAGTAAATTTACTTTAGTTATGGTTACTATTGTGCAGATTACAATAAACTAAACATTTATTGTAATAAATTTGTTTCACTTCAGGCTATAGGCCAGCTAAGCTTAAATTCTCCCATTGTTCCCTGTCTTGCAGTTTTGTCAGGACTTTCCAATATGTTTGGAAAAAAGAAGAAAAAATTGGAGATCTCTGCCCCATCCAACTTCGAGCACCGGGTTCACACTGGTTTTGACCACCGAGAGCAGAAATTCACAGGCCTTCCCCAGCAATGGCAAAGCTTGTTGGCAGACACTGCCAATAGACCCAAACCAATGGTGGACCCTTCGTACATCACACCCATTCAGCTTGCTCCTATGAAGGTATGATGATGTCCATTTTATTGGGTTTATTACCTGTTTTGTATTTGCTCTCTCCTAAAATATTTTATTTGTAGATTTGTTATTCATATATACTGCGGAGATATGTATGAACATACTGTATTAAATAGTGCCTGATTTTTTCACATTTTGTTGTCAGAGTTAGGTTTGATGGATTTTTTCCTTTTATCTATACACCATACTCCACACATTTAAGGTTATTTTTTTGGGGAAAAAATTATTAAGGTCAGCATGTTGGCACGTTAGTTAGCATTGCTGCCTTGTACCACTGGGACCCTGGGTCCAGTTCCTGGGATGCTCTATACTTAAAGTTTGTATGTTCTCTCCGTGTTCACGAGTGTGTTCTGGATGCTCCTCCCACAGTCCAAAAACATTCTAGTAGGTTAGTTGGTTTCTGGGAAATTTCACCCTGGAGTTTGTGGTTTTTGTGTGTGTCCAGACCTGTCCAGGGTTGCCAGTCCAACGCAGGGACTGGAAAGCGCCTATTGCTTGGCTCAGGCTCAAGCCCAAGCCTAGCTCTTGCTCCCCTGTGACCCTGCATTACATAAAGCAGTTAGAAAACTAATGGATGGATGGAAAAATACTAAAAATACAAAACTGAAATATCATAATTTGGATAAGTATCCATCCCACTGAGTTTATATTTGATGGGAGCATCTTTAACAGCAAGCAGTGGGTCACTAGGATAGGTCTCTACAAAATTTGCACACCCTAGACTTAAGAGTATTTGACCATTCTTCTTCACAAGTTTTGAAACTTTTTTTGAAAACAAACTTTTCAAGGTTTTTCTTCCTTTGCTTTTTATATAGTATGTAGATTTTAGTGTGTGCTTTGGATCATGCTGAAAGGTAAGCCTCCATCCTAGTTTTAGCTTTTTGGAGAGGGCAGCAGGTTTTCCTTAATTACTTTTCTAGACATTGTGCCTTTTCATTTTCTTTTCTATCCTGACAAGTCCCTGCCAATGAAAAACATCCCAGTAACATGATTCTGCCACCACTATGCTTCACAATTGGGAAGGTGTTTTTTTGGATTATGTGTTAAGGTGGGTTTGTGCCAAACCTATTGTTGTGCAAGGAAGCCAAACCGTTGCATTTAGTGTCATCAGACCACATAAATTGTTTTGTTTGCAGTGTCACTCAAATGCTTTGTTTCTGCTTTTTCAGTAATGGCTTCCTTCTCAACATCCCTTATTAAAAGAACAAAGCCTGCCTTGTATGCCTGATTTGTGGTGTGCCTGGGATATTGTTTTCTCTTGCACACTTGGCTATAAAAGCCAATAGCTTTCAAAGTTACCATTGGTAGCTTACTTCTTGCTTGATCAGGTGGTTTGGAGGAATGACCTGATCTAGCAGGTTCTTGGTGATGCCATACACTTTCCACTTCAAAATAATTATTTTAAATGTACTGTAATTTTTCATATCCATTCTCTGATCTGGCCATTTCCACACATTTGTTGTGGTGTTCTTTTGAAAGCTCCTTGGTGCTTATGATTGAGGCACACCACTGAAATGCACAACTCAGCACAGGAAGCCTACAGGAACTTCTGAATTTATACTGAAATCATGTAAGGCACTAAAGTTTAACGTAGGTTGAGGCCAGTTAAAATACATTCCAAGCTATAAGGCAACAAAAAGTTTAAAGGAGCTGTGGACATTCTAAAGGCTCTACTGTATATTTTGTATACTAATTCTGCAATAAACTTTTTAGGAAGATCTAATGGTTGTACCATGCAGAGGTTGTGTCAACTTTACGTAGCGATTCACTTACGTCATATTACGTCAGTTAATATGGTGTGTGGTTTTGAAGGTGATCTGATCTTATTGAGGATTACGATCACAAGGGGGATTGTCCAATTTCCAGCCAAGCTATTTCAGTATTTTTTTAACTAATGTGCTAAATATAATAATAATAATAATAATAATAATAATAATAATAATAATAATAATAAAAATAATAATACACTTTGTTTCATATAGAGCCTTTGAAGGTGGCTTCTCAAAGCGCTTTACAGAATGACAACAACAATAAATGAAAAGAATACACAAGATAAAACACAATTACAATATACAGGGGAGACTACGAATGGTGGTACTAAGAAAAGCAGAGGGGTGAAGAATGGAACCAGTTAAGTAAAGGCTTTTCTAAAGAAGGTTTTGAATCTGAAGGAGTTTTACGAAGGTAACTTTCTGATATGTTTGGGCAGAGAGTTCCAGAGCTTGGGGGCATAACAGGAGAAGGCCCTGTCACCCATACAATGTAGACGGGCTTGGGGGACAGTAAGGAGAGGAGAACTAGAAGAGCGATGGTTGCGAGGTGGGGAGTAGGGCGATAATAGTTCAGACAGGTGCTGAAGTGCCAAGCCATGCAGAGCCATATAGGTGAGCATGAGGATTTTAAAGTCCACACGGAATTTGACAGGAAGCCAGTACAAGGACTCCAGAATAGGAGTAATTTGATCATTTGCACTAGCCCTGGTCAGGATTCTGGCTGCTGAATTTTGGACATACTGTAGCTTGTTCAAAGTAGATTTAGGTACCCCAGCGAGTAGAGCACTACAGTAGTCGATTCGAGAGAACACAAATTTGTTGATTAGCATTTCTGCCACAGTTAGTGATAGCATAGGGTGTAGTCTAGCAATATTTCTGAGGTGCAAAAAAGATGTTTTGACAGTATGCTGCAAATGTGGGTTGAAAGGTAAGCCAGAATCTTTGTAGAATGTGTAATGAATTCATGATTGCGTTTAAATACATTCCAAGCTATAAGGCAACAAAAAGTTTAAAGGAGCTGTGGACATTCTATATTTTGTATACTAATTGTGCAATAAACGTTTTAGGAAGATCTAATGGTTGTACCATGCAGAGGTTGTGTCAACGTTACTTAGCGATTCACTGAAACACAATTTGACCAGGTGTCTACGCTTTTGATGCCTGTTTTTGACCATACCTTATCCGTATTATTCAGTTCATGAATTATGGACATTAAAGTTCCTATCTAATACTTGAAAGCACACATCTAACTTTAAAGCACTGGAACTGTGCTGTTACTCTTTTTTTAAAGTTATTTGTTTTTTAATTCTTAATTTTAGTGACAATCTTTTAAAACATTACATATTAAAAGAGTGAAATCACACTGTGGCTTGTAATACTGTATACACATACTACTATATATTATTTGCTATCTATGTTGCATTTAACATGTGTCCACTTACCTTGCAAAATCCTTGGTACTGTATCCCATTTTGTTAGATTAGAAATTGATGAATACACATTTTCTAAAACTTAATATTTTATTCAAAACCTAAATGCTCAGACTGAAGGCTTCTGATGGTAAGATACGTTACAGTAAATGTCAGCAAAAACTAAAAAAAAAAAGAAATATGTTACATGCGTTTTCAGACATGTGAACTCAATATTCGATGAAAGCACCTCTGGCAGAAGTTACAGACACGTCTATTGGGTAACTCTCTACTAGTCTTATGTAGGCAGTTTCTGAATTCCTTCCAATTCTTAATGATTGACTTCACCATGCTCAAAGACATATCAAGGAACTTTGAAATGTTTTTGTTCAGTTTTGCTGATACGTGCCTTTATACTTTATTCCTGAGTTATTTTGAAAGCTTGATCTACACGGATAACTCTTTGCTTGAAACACACTAACTGAGGGACCATAAAGAATCAGATGGTTTTATATTTAAAATTTTAAAATTAAAATAACATGAGGCCACTGTTCTCTTTGTGTGGCTCATTAAGGCAGTTTTGTGCACCCGCATTAATTTAGGTCTGAATACTTATGCAATCACACTTTTTCTATATTTCTTTCATATTAATTATCAATTTATTGATTACTTTTGTGTCTTACTTTTAATGTGTGGAGTGAGTTGTGTATATAACAGGTATTAGTTTCCACTTCAAAATGTCATGACTGCAAGACTTTAAACAACAAAATGTGAAAACTGTGCAAGGGTCTGAATACATTAGCAAGGCACTATAAACTTAGCAAAACTGAGATAAAGGTATACAGTATCTAAGGAAATATAACAAAATAAATATGTACTGTATTTTGTTAGATATTTGTTTATATAAATCACTGTATATAGAGGGGAAAATACTTTTAAACAAGCTGTAAGGTGAAGATGTGCAAATCCATTCCTTTTCAGATTATATTATTAGGAGCTGTAATTTGTACTGGTGTTATCTAGAGGTTACCAGCCCTGGTTGTGGGGGATCCTTATGTCTTATGGTCTTTTCTCCAGGAGAAAGTGACCTTTTTCTTTTAACTTTCTCTTTGGGGTCATTTTCTATCGGTTGTTTAAACTTCAAATGTGATTTGTTATTGGTATCACCTTGTACCAATTTTTGAGTATTAGTTTTAAATTGATTTTATTTTAGATTTAAATTTTTGAGTTTCTTCCATCATTCATGTGTGTTACTTGAAATGTAGCCAATTGGATGTCCACAGAAGGAAAATAATGCTCATTGTGGAAATATTGACACAGTAATACTTTATTCAAATTTAGACAGGATTACACTCACACTTCTCAATACAAATGACCAATTTTATATTTATGAGACATAAACCTACTGTATGACTATGGCTCAAATGTCATAGTGTGACTCAATGTGGCTCAAAGGGTTTTTCAGGAGCAAAAGGAAGAAGCCAGAAAAACTGACACCCCCAAACACACGACAAAGTGCCCTTGATGACAAAGATGGCTAGGGTATTGAGACAATAGTATTTCATGGGGCCTACTGTGTTTTTAAACAGAATGATAAGTTTTAGCTGTGCAGTCTTTCAGTAACAGCTATGATAATCTACAGTACAACTCTGCTCCTGCTCCAACATCTTCATTCCAAACATAGACATCAGTCCTAACAAGAATTACATTCTGTTTCTATCATTTTTTATGAGGGTATAACAGCTTGAGCTTCAGAACTTGAATTTACTAAAAAAACAAACTACACCACACTTCAGAATTTTAACATTTCTGACCATTTTGTTTTTCTTAAACAAAATCTACTGATTGTGAGGAAAGAAAATAGCATCATTCTGAAATAACAGTGATAACAGCTGGTTTGTATCACATTATGCAACTGTAACAATTGAGTTTATGTAGCTGTAACACCTCCAGTGTTTAACATTGCCAACTACTTTAAGGAGCTGTTACTCCACTTTGTTGTAATTATAATAATGAAAACAGACTTTTTATACTTACAGTATCTCCTGAGCATATGGCTAAAAACTGTTTAATATGCTAAATAAAGCAAGACTGAGGCTGTTGCAAATTGACAGAAGAGCGAAGTAACAGTATTGTACCACAGGAGATATCTTTGAAGAGGGAAAACAAGGAAATAATTATCTTGCTCTCTTCGCAGATATCTCCCAAGAAAGTCCCGTCAGCTGAAACATCATTGCGAAAAGTATGCTTTTTATTACCCTTTTCTTACATACATAAATGCACATGCAATATAAACTGCCTGACACCTTTGTTAAACATGGTATACACTAAAGTATTTTGCATTTCTTCTACTTTGTCCTTCTGATGTTGTGGTTTGGAAAGTCAAGTGAAGTTCAGTACCATACAGTAGGTGTATTCTAGATCAAGCTTCCACCATTAGCTCAAAACTGTCTCCTAATAAAAAAACACTCAAAACAGGGAGGCATGCAATCAATGGGTCTTTGCTAATCTGTGAAACTAAGTTAATTACAAACATCATCCATAGCTTCATCTCCCAAATACTATGCTCTAGATAAGAAAATGATAATGGAAAATGCATTATTGAAGTTTTCATACTGTATGATTACATTTTATTTCAAATCACCCAATTTTTAAAGTTCTGTATTGTCCTGTATCTCATGTCTATACCTACTGTATAAAGTGGAGCTCTAAGTACGCTCTAAGCATAAAGCAAAGTGTGATTCTTGATGCTCTGTAAATTAGGAGGATTATTAAAGAATGTGTGTACTGTAAATACAATATCTGGAGAGGGAGCTATTTTTTTTGGGGGGGGTGGGGGCGGGTTCTATTTAAAGTGACCTTGATGTAAAGTATTCATTTGACTTTGAAAAAACAAAAGTACAGTTTAAGCTTTCCAATATTATTTGGCCTGAAATATTGCTTAACAAATTTGTTTTGTGGTGGTCATAGTCACAGGTGGCTTTTTTGGTTCTGTTTTGTTCACATATTTAAATTATTACATTTATGTGTGTACTTTTCTCATTTCTTGTGTACCTTCTGAAACTTCAAATGTGTGAGTGCTCTCTTATACAGTACATTGATAGAAAAAGGTTATCAGAAAGTTTAAATTCAAAATAAAGCTTTGTTTACTACTCTCTGAAATACCCCCCCCCCCATTTAATTGTTATCATGACAGGGATAATTAAAGCCATATGACTATTTTTGTATCACTAACTTGCCTCCAGCTCTTATTCGATCACCAGTCACAAAGGAATTCGATTTTTATTCTTCATGCTTGCAGTTTCTTACTGTGGCACCCCCAAGGGAACAGGACAATGTACACAACAGTGCTGCTTTACTTAGCAACTGATACTGTATATAATCACTTTTATTAATATCTACATTATTGTTGTAGAATGCTTTGAACTTAAATCAGTACAGGTATTTGTAGAGAAAATATACACGGTGCAGCTGTAAGGGAACTCATAACTGCTAAAGATTATATGCTAACTTTGTATTGGTATTGTCTTGTATGCTTTTTGAAGAAACAATGCTGAATGCTGGAATTACCTTAGAACATTAAAGCAAAGCTGTAATTGAATCATTTAAAAATTTCAAAGATAATAACCATGTATATTTTATTACTAGTGAAAGAACATTTACGTTTGCAGTGTCACATTGCTGCAAGGACTCCTGATTTATTGTTAATTCTTTTCTCTTTTCCTGATTACAACAAAAGATGGAGCTTGTGTATTGAAATACTGTATATAGGATATCCTTTTGACAGCAATGTGGCTGACATGAAACTTACCAAATTTCCATTAAATGGCGAAATAAGAACTGCATGGTATTCAATGACCTCAGCTGTATATCAGAAGCAGTGTGCGAAACTGAAACTTGCATCATGAGATCCCTAGACCGAAATCATTGAGTGTTATCAAAGTAACAGATACATTGATATACTGTATTACTCACCTGCTGTGGCATTCACATAAAAAGTGGAGAGCATTAACAGAGGATACAAACCTTCAATATTACATTCCAACTGGCACTTTAGTATCTTCCGACTGGCACTTTAGTATGAGAATTTTTTTTTTGGCAAAAGAAACAAAATATGTAACTAATTTGGTTTGTTTTTAAAATCAAAGATCGACATTTTCAGTCTCAGAAGTTTATATGAATGTCTAAAATATATGCTTTCATATTTGGAAAAACAAACTTCTTTTAGGTTCAGAGTAAAGTTGATGGAAATGTACATCTGCAGGAGACTTTCTGCAACTAAATGATAAATAGATCGATCGTTCTGTGGATATCTCATCTTACTCATCTCACCCCTTCATTCCCCACCCCACGGCTATATTTGCTTTAGCAAAATGTTAATGTACTGGAAGGCCTAGCCAGAATAACAGATAACAACCCAAGCACAATTCAGACAATACGTTGTAAATTTTGTTATTTTAACATCAGGGTCTCAATTGAGGAATCATAGGAGTCCAAGGATAATCATGACAGTGGTAATCTGAAGGCTGGTTTTAAGAGGCATGATGTGTCAGCAAATTAGGCAGTCATCTCTTGAATTTTACAAGGCCTGATTACTGTTACCAACAAAAATGCAGCATTCAGCAGCAGCCTTGCTGTACTGAGCCTCGAGTTGCCAATCTTAGATGGGAAGATGTGATAGTGTGGAATCAAATATCATGCTATATTTGGATGCTACAGTATTTTGTGTTTTCATAGGGAGATGTAATGGAATTGCTGATTGAACTGATGTATTTTTATGGGATTATGGAGGGCTTTTTGTCAGACGTCAACAAAATGTGCATGTACAGTACATACAGTATGCCAACATGTCAAATGTTCTCAACATTACCTGCATTACCAAATAATTCCCTAAACAAGCCTGTTGCTTGAAATGACTCCCATTGACCGCTTCAGGGAATAATCATCTCTCGGTCATTGCTGTGTTTTACAGTATAGCCTGTATTACAGTTCATAGGCATTATGCCCCATTCTCATTTCTGACAATTTATAGTTTGTAAAAGATAACACAATTAGCAAATTTAACATTCTCTATCGGTTATGTTACTGAATCCCCAAAGTGCAAAGCAGCATTGGTCAGTGATCTGGTATGCATGCAGCTGAGGAAACTTGAGAATAAAATGTACAGTACTGACCCAGTCACTCTGCCTGAGCAGCTGCACTGAGGGATGCGGCTGTTTCAGAGAGTGAATTATGATCAGGCAGAAAGCGTGAGGAAACTGGGAGCAGGTGCAGTATGTCATGGATATTAAGAAGGAGGAGGAAGAAGCCAGCAGTTTATCAGTGCAGCTGTGGGATATGAAAGGGACAACTGAAACTTGCACAGAGGTGCGTTATTTATTTTTTTACTTGTGCGTCTTCTTACAGTGGTAAGATGGTATAAACCAAAATAAACAAAAAACATTGTCACTTTTCCAAAGTGAACATAATCAGTCCATTATTTGTTAAGAATGATACAGCAGTTTACTGGAGAGAAGATATTTCACCATGCAACATCGTTGATAAACATTGTATAATTCTTTATAAGTCTTTTGAGTAAAAACAGTAGGCAGGTTGAAAGTCTAATTAATTTAAGAATGTTGTGTTAGAACACCGACAGATATGCATGTATGCGTGTAATGGTTGTGAAATGTGAAAACAATCTATTCTTTTGACTGAATAGATCATTTGATTTGGGCTCTCATCAATTTGTTTAGGTTCTTTGTCTCTAGTAAATGTGTATTTTTTTTTCTGTTTGAATTTAGGTTTGGACTTAAAATAACAGATTGAAATACAGTATGGTTTCTAGTCATCTGATCTTTACTAGTTACCTCAAAAATAAACAATTTGTCAATATATGCAAATTGGTTGTTTTGGGAGTATAAATATATTTATTGGTTTGTAAATGGTGTGCAGTATCATTTTTAATGACTGTGCTGTTAATCATGTTACTCGACTAAAGACAGTCATTTAATCTATTTTAGAGTCATATCCTTCTCAGTGGTTTTCTGTTCAAAGCATTGCATTATACAGTATATTTACAGATTAAGGACATTTATGGAAAGAATAAAATGTCTTATTCACTGGACCTTGCTAGCATTTTGACATGATGTGTACATTTCTCTGGCTTTCCTAGACTCCAGGCCATCTAAATGTATGCTTTATTTTTTCTACCAAGTAATTCTCTGTAATATACTCAGGCTAAACATATTTCATCAATGCATTATCCCTGTGTCACAGCTGACTTTATATTTTACTTAATTTAAAGCCTTAGTTTGGCAAATTATATGACACATTATGTTTTAAAGGCTTTGAAGCAGGCCTGTCCACTGTCCCCCAGTGGTGATTTTTATAAATGCATCATCTCTTACACTGCATTCATGTATTCTTCTGAAATTAGATTGTATATTGTAGGACAATGCAGCTTTTACAAAAATATTTGTGTTATTTCAACTGGACCTTTATAGCAGTTTGTAACCTTCAGTGAAAGCAAATATCTTAAAGTAATTTGAATACAGAACACGTTAATCGGTTTAATGTTAAAAGGGCCTTGGTTAACCGACACTGCAAAGAGAGATTATCGGATTGAAATTAAGGTGGTGGTTTAAACCACACATGCTTATTATTTTAAATATTTGAAAAGGTCAACTTCTCTCTACTTGGTTGACCAACAATCCATTTTTGTAATCCTAAATCTGGGTAATATAGCACTATGAACATAAGTAGTTCAGGTGGGTAGCTGCGTCACCATGTGTAGGCTGCAAAGGAACAAGTAATAGGTTTATTCCGATGCTGAAAAAAAGAAGAAAGAAAACACAATGTTTTGGCCATGGAGCCTTCTTCAGATGTGAGCTCACACCTGAAGAAGGCTCCATGGCCGAAACGTTGTGTTTTCTTTCTTCTTTTTTTCAGCATGGAATAAACCTATTACTTGTTACTATGAACATAAGCCAAGGAGGTTCAATTTAAAATGCATGCTGTATTGTTAAGGAGACCTAAAAGTATTAAATATCTGCCAAGAAACACTAACGTTATGCTTTGGACACCAAGGAAGAGGCTTGTGTCCCATATAGGAGAGTGTGTCATTTAGTCTCTATGATAGAAAATTAAAGTTAATGGTTATTAACATATTCCTTTTCATTCTATGCATCACAATTGTAGAAAATGTTAAAAATTGCACAACATGAAAGAAAGCTTTTTCACACCCTGGTGAAATCCAGATTC